GGGGGGGGGGAGAGGGAGAAGCCGCACTTTTGCCCGTAGTTCCGTCCGTTTGTCCGTTTGGCTGACTCACCGGGCACCATGAGCATATCGCTCTCCATGATACTTCGGAAAAGGCGGATTGAGGAGCCGTCAAAGGGCAGCCCCTGCGCGAGGTCATCCTCCTCGCATTGGCTTGGCGCGAAGGTGCAGTGGTGCCAGAGCCCCAAAGGGTCGACAAAGCAGCAGTCGATGAGCTCCACCTTCTCCTTCTCGATGTACTGAGCCATGTCCTTGGCGGACTTGAACTTGCAAAGCTTCGACATCGTTGCAACAGCTGCCGGGCGGGGATGGGACTCTTGAATCACGTGGGGCCTGGAAGGAAAGGGCGAGGGACCTTTGGGGAGAGAAGGTTGGGGGGGAAAAGAAAAAAGGGAGAGAGCGTTGAACGAAAGAGGTTGCAAGATTTAACAAAACCCTATACCCTAATCCCCGAAACCCTAGACTAAGTAGGCGTCGGAATACTACATACTGGCTCTTAGTTGAAACCGTATGGTTGTTTTTATGTGATATGATATCCGTCTGAATCGAAATCGTACATGAGAAGATTCTTTCTCCTTGCAGTCGCCAACACACGCAGCGGCCACAATTCGCTTTCTTGGCAAACGGACTCTTTCTCAGCGTGAAACGGACTTCTGTGCTATGTGAACTCATCGGATGCCTCAGATGACTCAGCTGACCATCCTGTGAGTCACCAAAATATGGGCCTTTGCTGCCTTTCAAGCGCGAAGCCGCTGCTCTTCCGTTCATGTCATCGTGGCTCAAGCGGCGACTGCCAGGTCGCTTTTTCGTCGCAAAATCGAGAATGTTTCATCTCAGAAGATGACAATCAAAATGTCTGTCTTTCTCCGTGGAGTCACTTTTTTATTTTTCCGCTCTTTCACAGAGGGGTGCTTCATGTGTCTTGCGGTCATTTTGAGCCATGAAATGGTCGCTTTGGATGGCTGATGAGTGAGTGATTGGTTTATGCGGTTCATTTTGCTTGTGATCAGAGTGATCACAGTCACCAATGGGCTGATTGCTTGACAGGAATGATTGCTTTGTGGTGATTGCTTTGCCACATGAATGAGACACGCGATAAGCAACCGAGACACGATGAGAATGAGCGATGGTGGTGTGCTGTGCTGCTCTCTGATGCCGCTCTGTACTCCTCGATCACTCACTCATACATAAACATGCGTATACAGGTGACTGCTTCACTCACTAAGGCCTTAGTGAGTGTGATGCCGCTCTGTACTCCTCGATCACTCACTCATACATAAACATGCGTATACAGGTGACTGCTTCACTCACTAAGGCCTTAGTGAGTG